TCCCACACACCGACACCCATACCAACACCCACACTCATACTAACACACACACACGCATACCAAGACCCACACACCCATACCAACGCCCCCACCCCCCCCCCCTAACCCCACACACACCCCCACCCCCGCCCACCCCCCCCCCCCCCTCCGGTGCCTATTGTAGTCATACACATTAGAGAATACCCCCAGCGTCCATTGGAGACATTAGCAACCCATTACAGACATTAACAACACCATTACAGACACTAGCAACCAGTATTTGGCTGCATTACAGACATTAGTTAGTAAAAACAACAAACATTAGACTTTCTTGATTTTTGTTGAAAACTATTGAAGTTATAACTTCCAACAATAAACAATATTGGTCTTAGCGAGTTGATTAAGAATTATGATAGACATCTACACTCTTCTTTGTCAGTTAAATCAATAATGAGAATAACAACGTGAAATTAAAAAAAAAATAGCAACAAGATTCAACAAAAAAATAGAGCGCCGACGAAAAGAAAAAACACTGATGTTCAAAATGCAAAAATAAATAAAAACTGTTCTTTCTCTGGTAATTGATTATTTTGCAAAATGAGTATAGTCTACAGGAGTTTTTTACTTTACGTATAGTATATCAGTTTATTTCTAGAAACCGGTTGTCTTGAATAGAATTAAGCTAAAAGCCATATGTGAGTTCCACATTTTAGCCACACAGAGGCTGCACTAACAAGCTTTTTTCGAAAGAGTCGTCTTTTAATTCTCTACAAAACGTTAACATTCTCATAAAATTGCATGACATCTATTATTTTCCAAGATATGCTTGAAAGAAACAGACTCAGAAAAAAAATTGTAAAGCAACTTTTTGCGGACGTTTTAAATAGCATGTTTCAATATGACATTTTTCAAATGGATAAAATGAGCAAATTCGTTTCCAATTGAATATTCTAACGAAGTGTAATTTCGACTAATTGATGATCAATCATGATTATCAATTTGCATTAACTGATGAATGTATGAGCCTGCCACCATCTTACTGAATTCTCTTGCTTGACCTTAGTGATTATATTCGACAAAGGAGTATGATTTTATCCTTAATGCATTCAAAATGTCTTCTCTTGATAGCACTAAAGTATGGTAATGAGTCCATGAAAAAAAAGTTCAAAAAAAGAACGGATGAAAACGCGTTGTCGAGATAAAAGACTGCGTTGTGAAGACGCTTTTTTCGACCTTTTCAGACGCGTTTGTGTCATGAAAAACGCGTTCTTTTAAATAAAAAGAACGCGTTCTGATATGCTAAAAGCGTTGTATTATAAGAATAGTTTTTGAATGGAAAATCGCGTTTCAAAAGAGCGCTAAAAGCGTGTTCACAACACATTCCATAGGAACGCGTTTTTTGCAATAAGAACGCGTTCTTCTGTAGAAGAAAAAATCATTTTTTTGTTTTGTTTTCAACTCTATGATGGTCTCGAACGCGTTTCTTTGCTATTCGTATAGGTTCTCTGACAGCTGGTTCCTCTATCAGAATACTTGCGTTCTCACTGAATATGTTCCAATTCTTTTTTTATTACCGTAGAGTGGATTCGACCAGATAAAGTTGTAGTTGCGAAGCAGTGAATATCCGAATGAACTATAATTACGTATGTCTGAAGTGTTAAATTTTCTATTTGAATCAAACAAAACTTATTCTGACTTCAACGAAATCTATACTAACGCAAGAGTGATCCATTTACGTTTACAAAAAATTAAATAAATTCAAAAATAAATTTAAAGAACTTAAATTTTTTTAAAATAAAATATTGTAAATTTTTATTTTTATAAAATTTAACTTTTTTAATATTTTTTGACATTTTATAAAAGTTTTCCGATCTAACTTACATTAATAAAAATTCCATAGAAAGCTGTTCAAATTCAATTCAAATTCATTTAATTGAACTTAAATATTTCTTATGCGATTTAAATTCATTGACTGTAATTTTTATGGAATTTAAATCCAATAAATTGATTTAAATTGAATTTGCATTGTAAACTCGATTTGAGTACATATAAAATTTTGATTAATTTCAAAAAGTTAAATTCATTATAAATTTAAATCGACAAAAGCAAAATTTAATATAAATTAATTAGAAATCGATCGACACTTCTGATTTGTATTATGAGCAACAAGCAGTAAGTGACGCGCTCGATGGCAAATAAAAATGTGATGATTAAATTTTAGACAGATACTAGTATAAATTTTGCAATTTTTTTTTAATATTTGAAATAGATCGAATTTTTTCCAATTACTATTTTTTAAATATAAGAAAGAAAGTGCTATTAGAGAATGTGCATACACAACAACATTTTCTAAAAGAAGCTTGCATGATAGTACTTTTGTAGGTAAAATGTGAAACTGACACATGGGTATTAGCCGGTTTTAGCCAACACAATGTGAAAATTAAAAGACTTCTTATAGATTATAGTTACGCTACAATATAGTTAGCTAATTTCCAGAATAATGATCTGCCATATTTATTTCTGTATTTTACAAGAAGCATCTTTCTTTTTTTTTATAAATGTGCTTTTTTTTGTTTGTGTTGCTACTGTTTATTCTGTAGTTGTCATTTTTCTATTGTTTTTCTTAATTTAAAATTCTTATTTTCATGAACTCTGAATTATAAGCATGACAAAGATAAGGCTGTTCTAAATATTTGATTCAAGAAGATTGGAACTGAAGAATACTTTAAATTTTAATTAGCGGATATTGAAATTCCTTTTTTCTCATACAAAAAAATGTATAATTCTCTTGGAGTAAAAAATGAGCTTACAATTGCTCTTGAGAGAATTCTGAATTTTTCTGAATTGTTGTTTGTCATGTAACATATCTATTATATCTACAGCAGTGGGTCTTACCACAGTACAGTGTCTCGATTTATCCACAAGCAGTGAAATTGATTATTTCTGGAAGCTTCCCCTTCATTTATTCATCTATTTTGTATTAATTAACTGAGAGTTGAAGCAGATCAATGAATCACAACGAACAATAGTTCACATTTTGAAATTTTTGTTCATGAAAGTCAGAACGCCTTCACTGTGTAAAATATCAGAAACGAACTATACTCATTTGTTTTTACTGAAGAGTTCGTGAAATTGTATAATATTCTAAAACAATCTAAGCCTTATTATTAGTATCACTCAGCGTCTTTACTCGTGTAGATTCAGGGCTGTAATGAGGAAGAATGCTAAATTTTGTGATCGGAACAGGTGGCGAAACTCTGGAAACTGTCGCCCAAAATTTAAACTCAACATTTTCTTTAAAGACATATAGCTGTTCCATACAACAACTACTGCAACTCTCTTGGGAGGCATTTGCTTTAAGTAATTGGGTACAGTCATTTTCTATGATGTAAGCTGGGGACACTCCTACAACTGTAGTTGAAAAGGTATTTTCATCTGTTAATGCCAATGAAATTACTATCATTCGACTGTCAAATCGAACATAAAGTAGTTAATTTAATTTGTTTATTGTACATGTTAGCGAATTCGTTTCGTAAAAAAAACTAGATTATAAAAAATGAACACGGTTTATTATGAAACTCTAGATAGATGATAACTTTGCCTAACAAGACACACCTTTCAGTGCATTACAACAGAAAGAAATTTTCTTATGTTGAAAAAATATATTTCTTAATTGGCATAGCACTTTCTTTACATGTATTCCGATATATTTCAAGTAATGGGTTCCATTAAATTAAAATGAGCACTTTTTCACTAGATAAAAAAAACACGTTCTGAAAGTTGACGAACAAGTTCTTCAGTATACATTTTCAAGCGTTTTCGAGAAACTGGTTTTCCAACTATAAGAACAAATTACTCGCGAATAAGTTCGAACGCATATAGGTTGAAAGCGTTCGTGCGATAAAAGACGCCTTCACTATTAACGTGTTCAATATGATAAAAACGCGTTGCTTACAAACAAGTATGCGTTCGAACGCGTTCAGAATTTTGAGAAACGCGTTCTTTTACGTTCATTATAAGGAGTATTTTTCCATGGGAGGTCTTTATAAAATATTGTACAGTTCAGCACGAAAATACAAAGTGTTTGCCTTCATCAGTTAATTAATACAAAATCACCACCACCATTGATCATCATTTAGCCGAGATTACATTTCATTAAAATATTTCACTCGGAACAATCTAACATTGAAACATACTATGTAAAACGTCCGCAAAAAATTTGTTTTACGATCTATTTTATCTGGGTTTGATACATTCTAGGATATTGTGGAACATGATTTATGTCATGTATATTTGTGAAAAAGATATCATTTTATAGATAATTGAAAGACAAATCTTATGAAAAAAAATCTAGTCTAAGCAAACGAATATTTAAAGTGATATCATTCAAATACCGAGATGCTCCATTCTTTCTTACATACTCAGTAGTATTCAAGGGCTAATATATTCGTTTTAATAATCCTTTTTCTTATACAATAGAAAAGCATAAGCTTCGAGAAAAATCCTGATTTCAAATCAGTCGATATATAAAATAAAGATCAGAATGAGCAAATTGACTGGTAGCAGCTGTTTACAAAATTGAAGGAAACGCAACAGATGGGCAACAACTCAAACTAGAATTGTCCTCCCTAGCTAAATTTTCTGAAAAAATGTTAAAATTGAAATATTCCAATCGCACTTGCATGCATCCCAACAAAGGATGCTACCGCTATATTTAGCTTCTTTAGCTATCGTGCATTTCTTTGAAACTCAAAGTCGGCGAATGTAATCATTATCATGAGCAAGAACTGTAACAGACTTTATTAAGTTTTGTTTTATAACAATAATCATCATACAGTTCGTATCTAGTAGATTTCCAAATTAATCTGCTTGGCCGTGGTACCATGAGAACTAGCGTGATCATCTGGGATAATGTAAGCATTTCCTTGTGACACACTCTGGCGATAATATGCTACCAATTCTTGATTTTGACCGCCCGTGTAGGGTTCAGTCGGTTGAAGAACATCATAACCTTTTGAATCTTTGACTTTGTATTTACTTGGCGCTCCCTGTCTCAAATCATTCGTAAATCCTGTTCGAAGACTTCCATCTACGCTCGAGAAAACCATTGCTCCATTGAATCCTCGTATCAGACTTATATCGCAAAATGTCATATCTTGCCAAGCATTAAAATGAATTTCAGCCCATGTAGCTGGATCAGGTGGAGCTCCAGTCAATTTCTGCAAACGACCTTCCCATCCATACGCTAGTGAAACACTTACTGTTCCACCCGGTGATATATTTATCGTTTTTTCTGCTACGAATGATGGTTGATTCGCACCAGTATTTTGGAAGAAACCGACACTAATGGGGTGTGAACCACGATTCGAAACGTTGATTCTGTTACCACTACGCAAAAATAATTTCATTAATTGAATGTTACATCCAATGGCGACACTAATAGCTCCAGGCAAGAGGAATACTTGAAAAAATCCGAGAAAAACTGAGCTGGAAGACGATACACGTGAGTTCAACCGACTTCAATGCATACAGAATCATCAAAGCAAGACATTACTGGTTGGATCTGGAGACGGGTAGGTGTCGATGTGGGTGTTGGCGAGGATGTGAGTCATGATTTAACAGACATCCACATCCACACCCACAATCTTGTCATTTGACTGTCAATTCATAGTTGTAACGATATAGTCATAGTCGTTCTTTCTGACTATTATTCTTCCTATTATGTGTATCTCTTTCTGTTCTGGCTTTCTCGTCTCTATCTTTCTTGGTTGCGTATATAAACGTGTGTTGCGTATGTAAACGATGCGACTCTTCATAAGAAGAAATACATTAAAGCGCAGTTCCATCAGCGCTAACTCTTCTTCTATCCAAAATCATCACAATAGTGCAAAGAGAATACTGTGTTGCCAGTGATAGACATGCGTGGCATGAAGAGATCTGAAGGTAATCGACTGCTATATTGACATATAAGACTTCCATTCTGTCTACTTAGCCAGTCATACTTTATTTAAAAAAAAAAGTTTTTCAGGTTACTGAAAGAGCATCAAAACCATACGTAATTTAGTTAATAAAACGAAAAACCAACAAAATGCATCTAGTGTTGAATTCAGCTATCAGAGTCAAAACTTCGTTCTGAAAAACTATGCATACCTATTTTTGTGTATACAAGCTTGTAAATCAAGAAATCTTTAAAAAACAAATCAGGGTTATAGAATATAGATTCCATATTACTCTTCATATTCTTCATTTGTCCTAATGTGTTTCAATAAATGTCTTTGAATTAAAATTTCTTTATAAAGTGATGTACGAGTACAGCCAGTATTCCTTCTTGTGTTAAGCTCAGCGATCCAACCATTGATTGGTATATTAAAGCGTTTGTCAGCGTCTATAAAACTCAGAAATTACTAAGGACTATAGGAGAATAAAGAAGACGCAATACTGATCTACTACAGTAATGGATTATAATCATAATTAATTAGATCAATAGAGTACCCATCTAAAAAAGTTTGGATTTCGGGAAAGAATTATAGCTGAGAAACAAAACCAGAAAACATTAAAAAAAAACTGTTCAAATTTCAGAGACTTTTCTGATTTCTCAGAATATCTGACAACCTTGATGGTTGGAACCATTTGAAAGTGATATCAAGTTCACTGGTTTTCATCGTACCATATGAATAACAACCATGAGTTCCTTTTTATACTACAGGGTGTATCTTTCTTCTCATGTTTGCAGCTTTTGAGCAAAAGCATTCTTTAGAATATCTACATATCAACGCATCCAGCTGCTTCCTATTCCATTGTTTTATTCAAGCCATCATTTGCCATCATACCCGTTGGCTTCTACGATTTTCCTACCCTTATAGACAAGAAAAGAAAAGAAAGATCGCTCAAATTAAAGGGTTACTAAAAACGAAATTTCTTCAGACTTATATAAACTAAATTGTTGAAACTTCTGCAACAATTGTAAAATTTGATGAATTATTATCAGACTCCCAATGAGTAAAATGTGAGAACAGGGTGTGCTAAAATCGCTGTTTTGTAGAACTGACGTATTTTTTGGAAGTAAACAGTGAGTGTAAGTTTAAGGGCAAGAGTTTTGCGACCCTTCATCCACCACTCCTCTCCATTACAGACATTGAGAACTAATTATTGATTAGAAAAAGAGAGTAAAAAATTAAAAATAAAATGCAAACAAAACGAAAGGATAGTTAAAATGCGAAAGTAAAAAAGAGGGCCCAAAATATTTAAAAAATCTTTGTGTTTAAATGTAAAGATAAATGAGACAGTTTTTTGCTTTGATGATCAATTATTTTGAAAAATTAGTAGTCTGAGAAATTTTTCATTTTACGAATTTTTATCGGTTTATTGAGGCTAAAATGGCATTCGTGAGTTCCATATTTTAGCCCTAAAGGGGCTGCGCTGAAAAGCTTTTTCGACATAAATTACATAATATTTCAGGAATCTAACATCATAGGTTGGAGTTATTTCATATATCAATTTATGTCGTTATTTCTTGCCTCATAACAAAAAGAGTAGCTTGACCTATGCTCATCATTTGAAGTATTCTTCCGTCTGAAAGAAACGTTCAGCCTTGATAACAACAAGCATATATTTCTTTTGTCTAAGTATTTCTTGATGTCTTACCCGGATGAGGAGACCACACCACAGACCATACCTTGATCACTGGTTGCAATAGCATCGTTTTTGGAAACAGAACCTTGTTTCATCCAACACGTACCGCCATTCCAGTTGGCCCATACAAAGTGAGTACACCCAGGGGTTTCAGCACATTTTCCACTGCAATCTTCACCACGCACTTGAACATTTTTCAAATCATTATTGACAAAATCACAGCCCATAGCCCAGTTATTTCCATTCCAGGCAATACCACGTTTGACCAAACCTGTATGGACAGAATGCATGGACAATCGCAAATATCTGAGAAAAGTCAGGAATTTTTTCTTTGTCTGGTTAAACACGAAATCATAATTTTTCACATTCACTTTAATAGTGCGAGATGTCTCCGATATTGTTTCTAGCTCATCCTTTCATATAGTCCCTCACAAAATATCTGAGATATGTTTTCAGCATACTGAAAGCGAAACCAAGATTATGTGTCTTCTATTAGATGTTCGATATATAAAGTATATTTCTCTCACAGTACTTGTGAGTGCTACACTCTCTAAAACTGTGCTTCTTCGCAGAAAACATAATCATGAACTGCCGTGTATGTAAGAAATGAAATTCTTCTGTAATGACTAAGGTGTCAATCGTTCTTTAATTGTGTAACCAACTGCGGTGCGTATCACAACTTGAAACGAATGGAAAAAGTTCTGCCCGATTCGGTTTAGCTTAACAGGATTTTTACCTCAGAAAATTCTATTCTATTGTTGTTTGCAAGACAGTCGATTTTTAGCCTTATACAGCTGGCCATTTCAGTAGCAAGATAAAAAAGTGTAGAAGTCGAATTATTGGCTATTTACCTGACAGAAAACTGCGGAAAACATTACGATTGATGGAATGTTTTCGGTTGTGCTTGTACACTAAAGATTAGAAAGTCAAATCTAGCTCATCTTAGAGGATCACTATACCTGCATTCGCCGAAATAACAGTATAAATATTGACTGATACCAACAAGAACAATGCGAATGAAATCACCGAATGTTTCATTTCTAGTGGATGAATTAAATCGAAAAAATGAAAGCCATATTTGCATGTAAAAAAACTTCTCTCTACCTCTTCTTTTGATTGAAACCGAATTTATGATTTAATACGTCTTTCTCTTTTGCTAAATGAACCTAAATAAAAATGGTTATGAGGTACGATAGATTAGAATTGAGTTTAATTTGAAATTATCTAAGTTCAGATGAAAGAGAGTTGTAAAATATCCCAAAAAAGCGAGAACTTGTAACCATACTACAACAAATTACTTAGTCTTATAAAGTCTAGAAGAAATGCTCTGGTTTAGAACATCGCTCTCACTTTCACTCATACACGCACACCCTCTATTTTTCAATCGACGGGGAGAGCTGAAAGATGAATCAAGAAAAATCGATCTGATTTATATTGTATCCATGGGGGTGTTTTCGAATAGAAATGCATTTTTTCAGAGAATCATTCTTTTTAAGGCGTGTCTTAATACAAATACCAATATCATCAATATCGTATCGGTATTGTGACATGTCTAGTTGTAGAGAACCTCATTCTCTACAAAATTCCTATCGTTGGTATCAATATCGACTCTCTCCACTCCACTTATGCGGCTTAGTTTTACAGCAAATATCAAAGGAAAACGTTTACCATGCTCTCATTAAAACCCTATGGATCATATTTCACCCAATAAACAGCAAAGTTTTGTGTGTTATATCTTAGTCTACAAAGCATAAAATTAAGACCACGACATTGTGTGGATTTTTATTTTCTACGCCTTAGTGAAATATTATCCTAGGCTATTGCTCAGAACATAATAATGGCTTAATCCTTCCTGCTAAACGAGAAACGAACTTATGTAGCTTGACTGGATACAATCACATTTATTGTACATATGTGTACTGAAAATTACACCAGTTGTTGGGCAATCATTATTTTATACCGTACTACCTGTGCTCCAGACAACCAAAGAACAAGTGAAGACTAGTCTGCAACGAGCTATGGACTAGTTCAGAATATGCTAGCCCTCAATATGTATAGTCCGTTTTGTGAGTTCCATCCATCGAGACTAGTCAGTCAAACAGAAAGGCGAGATAGGAGAAAAGCGAATAGGGGACTTGAACATCCTACCAGGCAATATTTGAGAACTAACGAAGTTTTTATCGGTAAATAACCAACTGAGAACACATTATCGTCAATGTTGAGCGTCTAAATCGCATACTAATGCTTCCTAGTTTAATATGTAATTAAAGATAGCCCAAAAAGAATCTCCTGTGTAGTGCAAACCGTCTTCTATGATTTTATGACTACTCCGCTCATAAGAAATTACTGTTCAATACAAGTCTAAGCTAGCTCAGATCAATCATGCCTGGCCATAAACGGCCATAACCCAGTCAATTCCGACGGAAAACGGCAGCAGCTTACTGTGAATTACGTTCATCGGATTCCGTCGTACTCGACCATGAACTGTGGTTAACGTTCGGCGCTGTCCCATTGGAATTAGCATTAGTATAAAACAATCCTAATATTGAAAACTTTTCTCGGTCTTTTTCACGTAGGGTTAATGCTTTAGCATTATGTTTATAAGGCTTTATTAATAAAATGTCTGAGACTTATCTTTGCATTATTTATTTGTTCATTGTATGTACTTAATTTTCTTTTGTCAACCTGCGTGAGAAAAACTCGTGTAGCATATCATGCAATGGCATTAATACCCCTAGAGAAACTACTTATCACCTACACTCTAAAAAAATAGGTCCATTCTGAACCCAAAAAGGTTCTTCCCAAGGCACACGGGATGAACCTTTTTTTTAGAGTGCTGTTGATGTTAATAGCATCTTCAAGAGGAAACAATCTGATTTCATAATTTCAGAGATTTTAATGCGCTTCTTGGTGATTTCATGTAATTTCCGACTCATTTTAAAAATGAAATCATTGTGAAATACCTTGACTACCCCAAGCGATGCCACTGGCATTCTGAGTTCTGCCACCATCGACTTCGAGGAAAATTCGATAAGTACCATATTCTGCATGGATTAGAGCTGGTATAAATCTTACGTGACACCCCTTTTTATATACCTCGAAATTTCTCTAGCTCTATTAGCTAACATGCGTAATAAACCGGACGGACTATTCTACTCTGCACTGACCCTACCCTATATATATCACTGTTACCACATAGTTCAGTTCATTTCCACCCCAGCACAAGTTCGAGCAAGTAGGCTTTAAAATTTCGAAAAAATCATTTACTATCCACGGATTGCTGCAGCGGTACCTCAGGTCTCTTTAAATGACAGCACGCATGACTGTCCCGATAAAACCTGTACAGGTAAAAATCCCTAACTGGTATAAAAAATCCATTTAAATTCTTGTTGACTGAAAAATTTTCTCAGCAGACAGCCGCCGGGTTCCCGAAATGTATTAGAGAGTGATCATCTTATATTCCCGCCATATTAATGTAAAAAAAGCTCGTACCAAAAAGGTATCCAAAAGAGCTCTTTAAGCCCTTTTGTTCAAATTTCTACAAAAAAATGATTTCCCTATGCAAATTAATGGATTCGAATACAGTAAGGTATTTTAAGGCCTTTTTGTAACCGATCGTTTTGTTTTCTATTACTCCTGCGCAGAAATCTGCTCTTTCTCTGAAAAAAGGCCTTTTTTGAAACTTTGTAAAAAGCGTGATTTATTTCTCCAAACGCATCGATTCTAACACAGCCAGGTATTGTAAGGAGTTTTAGCATGGTTGCGCTTACGCTATATGTATTTTTTGAAACACGACCTAATAGGAGTGTTCAAGTGTTTAAGAGCAGAAATTTGGATCCCACCACAGACAGTGACAGAGAAAATTCATACCCATCAAACATCATGACAGGGAGACGCCACAGATCATTCACAGATTGTAGCAAAGGCCGTCTCAAGACGATCATAGAGAATGTCAGACGTTGTTCATCTAAGATGGAAGACCATATATCAATAAAATCCTGTGAGAAAATATGAACTACTTTCTTATGGTAGTCCGATGGGATTAGGTAAAGGCTTGGGAACAAATGTATCACAAAATACGTTGATCAATAAAGTTTCAATGGATTTAGAAACAACAACTGAATCGTGTTTCACATTTTAATCCCGCAGGGATTGCGCTAATAGGTTTTTGTAACTTAGTCGCTTTTTGATCCGAACGAATGGGTTATAGTATAGAAAGGCATTGGAAAGCCTTTCCGCGTGGTTTCGCTTGGGCAGCCTGCATTTTTCCTTGATAAAAATGCAGTTTAAGGGGAAAATGCCTTTTAAGGCAGTTTTTGGTTGGTTGGGCTTTTATGGGCTTCGTGAAATTTTGACAACAAGTGCGAAATGTTTTGATCAGATCCCAAGTCAAAGACTCCCGGCCGTAAACGGCCGTTTTTGATCGAATTTCGCCCTTTTGGTAGGGACAGTATTACGGCCATAAATGCATCGTGTCGTAAACGATGAAATACGCCGTTCCCAGGCCGTTTTTGACCGTTTATAATCGTGTACGACACGAGACACGTACGGTCGTAATACGGTCACTACCAAACGGGCGAAATACGTTTCGTTTACAATCGTAACTTGTGATTAACGGTCGTTTACGGCCATTTACGCTATCGTAAACGGCTCTGTAGGGCCGTTTACAGTCACAGTAATCAGTCTCCTGGGAGTGCAAAGTGGTCGAAAAATCTGGTGTGATGTCCGCTGATGTCATCGCAACCACTCTTGTTGACTAGCCGTTTTTGGAATAGACGAACATAGAATGTAAGGTAATTAATTTTGAGCGTCTTCCTCATTTTGAAGAATAATTTATGGATAATCATATATATTTAGAATATGAATTAGTAGGTAAAAACAGAAATCATTTGGGTATCAGTTTTAGGTAAGAATTAAACGAAATTATTATTAAGGAGATGAAATTAAATACATCTTTTAAAACTGCCTAGTGATATTATATCTAAATTTGCTCACATACACTATTTAAAATTATATACTGCATTAGAAAAATAGCTCTGTCTCTTCATATTTCATGTTTAAGCATAATCTACTGTACTACCTTGATGAATACTAATAAACATTGTAAAATGTCGATCAACATTGATTTGCTTAGTATTTATAATGTTGACAGAGAGAAAAAATCTCGAAAGCAAATATATCGAAAGTGCTATTAATGCAGCCTTGATGCAAACTATTCTTATATAAATGTAGCACATAGGTGCTGCTGTACATTATTCAGCCGATACTCATGAAAGGAGCGCTGAAACTG